CTCTAGACTTTTGTTGCCTCTTCTTCAAAATTTTTCATCGCATTTTGATGACCAGAACACAGCGCCTTTAAAACAAACAGTTGGTGGGTAATGAGACGCAACTGGTGTTACTGTTAGGTTTTGAGGGAAAATCGTTGAATGAATGCTGGCAAATGGGTCTATGCGGTGGCCCTTGCAGCGAACGGTGCTTTCACTTCTTCCCATGTCTCTCCGATCCAGGTACGTATATGCCTAATTGTGTGAAATATTGTGTTGTATAATTCGTTTGATTTGATTTTCCATACATACAATTTTGTATTTTTTTTAGCTCGGAGATCGACGTTGTGTTTGAAAGCGGCGTTGGTGATGCTGCATCTAGTCTTTGTGGGCCTCCTTTTCCTTTTCGATAGAGATTTGATCGAGAAAACCCGAGAAAAACCATGGTAATACGTGTTTTGAGTTGTTTGAAGTTGGAAGGCATAAGAATTAGGGTATTACTGTACAAGTTTGGACTTTAACTAAACTGAACTCAAGGCACGATTGTGTCCACATTGTGAAAATTGAAGAGCTTATCTGCTTCCTATAGGGTAGTCAGACTCTGTGGAACTCAAGATTTTAATGGAGGGTGGTATTTTTGTATGTGGAAAAGCCATAGTGAATGACCAAGTTAAAATACTGGCACCCAGTTTTGATTTTCATGTCCATGGACAATTGGCACACTGAACAATGTTATTTGACACAACTTTGTCTGGCATGTCAATGAAGTTGTAAGGTTGAAATTTTGCACAACCCTTAGAACATGGATCTCACACACTTGCATGATTATCAGAAATTTGGGGAGAGAATTTCCTTGGGTTATTTGGCATCTTAGTTGTATCAACAACTTCCTTGGTTGATGTTTGGTGCAAAAGATGTTTTATAATTTTAAAACTTGCTATTTTTTTTGCTCTAAGTTCTCTTTTCTCTTACAGGTACACAGCACTATACTTGTCATTAGTTGTTGCTACATTGGGTCAATATTTCCTAACCTCTGGTTCTTCTCCGGGGTAATTGTAATCCACAATTTCTCTCTTGCCAAAGGTGTTAGTCCAAAAATTGTGTGTGGAGTGCAAAGTTCTGTTTAGTATTTGTTTCTTGATTTTTTTTTTTTTGGTTTCAGCTATGTTCTTGATGCAATGAGGGCTGTAAATGAGAGAGATGCCTTAATCAGAAGTACGCCAGTTTCCTCAAAGTAAGCACTAATTTCCCTCTTCATTCAGTCGTTCACTACAAAGATTTAAAAATAAGGAAAAAGAAACTAAGCAATTTCATATGCTTTTTTGTTAAGAAAATACGTGGAGATTGTAGGAGCTTGCTGCTTGAATATAGATTTAATTAATTAACATAATTTTCTGCCTATATTGATGTTATAACGATCAAGCAAAGACATTCTGCTCCAAGCAAAAGTGGCAGCGTAGTTATTACTGTGGATGCTCACCCATTGAGAAGAAATCTTTTACAGAGTAATACAACATCTTGGACAAAGCTTGTGCTGGACATGTATCCTCCTGGATCATCTGCTAGGTATGGAAAATTGCATTTGGTTGTCTGATGATAGTTCGTTCTTATCATAGCAGTTATTTCTTATATGCACATTGCCACATAACTGTCATTTGTTAGCATTTTGTTACGCCCCCATAAAGACTGATGTGTGTAATAATCAATCATCTTGCTCCTTGTTCATCAAGTTTAATTCTTTTAAATGTAAAATGGTTGGCAACTTTGCAGCATATATCTGTATCATTTATATAAGTTGATGGTTGTAAGTTGCAAATAAATAAGCAAACACTTTATTGCCACTTGTTGTCTGGGCTATAGACCTTTGTTAGTTGTATCATAAACACAGTCAACCCTGTAATGCCTAATAAATAAAAGCACGGTCGAAATATGACTTTTGGTCGTGCTCTTGACTCGTGAAGATTCTTGAAAGCAGGCTTTGGTTCAGTTTGTTTGAAGATTGAAGACTAGTGGGAGAGCAAATGGGAAGGAAAAAGGTTTGGCAACCACAAAGGGAAAAGCTATCATCTTAATTGGGAGTGGAACGTGAATGGATAACTGTGTTTTTTATGTTTCGTAGGTGACAAAGCAATAATTTTAATGGTGAAATTAAAAAAGTTGGCTTTGTAGTGCTTAATTTTCCTCTAATCAGAAGACACAAATTGAAAAACATGGTTCACTCCTTTTCATTAACTATTTAAGAGTCAAACATTGGTTATTCTTCTAGAGTTTCTAACAAAAGCTTTTTAAGAATACAGGTCAAGAAAAACCTTAAAGAGACATATATTTATTGAAAAAGAGATCAATTAAGAATGAGTTGAATTTTTTTTTAGGTAGATAAATGAGGCAATTTTTCAGCAAATCTATGATCTTTGTTTCTAAAACTGATTGGTGGGCCGGGTCCCATATATATTTATTGCTTTCTTTTTTCTTCTTTTTCAATTATATGTATTTAGCTGTTAATTTCATCCAAGAGGCAATATTTGTAGAAGTGGTAAGGCTTCCACATGGACGGCCCTTTATTGTCTGGCTTGGGTAGCAAAGAAATTAGCCTCTTTAAGTTAAAGGGAGAAATATTCAAACAGCATTTGAAGTCTTGAAAGATAGGTGTAGTTCCTATAATAAGTGGGCTTTGCTTGGAGGAACTCAGTTTGGTTTAGTTAAGTTGCACTTGGTAAGTGGCTATGGAGATATTTTTTCGATAGGGAAGGTTGTGGAGGGTGGTGCTTCTTGGTGGTTGGTGGAATGCTGTATCTATAACTGCAGGGTAAAATTTAACACCAATTCACCTAACTTGATGTTAGTTCCATAACAATGTATGTTTTTCACCATTAATCCAGTTGTGCAATTTAGAAAATATGCTACAAATTGGAGATTCTTTAACTGACTCTCTCTCTGTTTTTCAGAACTTGGACTTGCTCTTACTGTCATGTTGTGCAGGTAGTATTTCCTTATCATTTTATTCATTTTTACAAAGTACTCAAATCTGTGATTGATCACTGAAGTCAGGAAAGAGTAAAAAAGTTTGTGCAAGAGTTGAAACAACTTTGCTTTTTGTTGCATCCTTGGTTTTATTTTGTTTTTCCCGTGAAATCATAAAGAGCACCATAATGTATGCTGGTTCATTTGCATGTCTATCACAAAGTACGCAAGCCCTTATTAAAGGAGAAAATGAGTGGGTTTCAATGAACGAGAGATGCATTAACAATTTTTTTTTTTTGATAAGAAACATAACTTTAGTTGGTACAATCAAAATTTTTACATAAGGCTAAGTTGGACGAGATTCAAGCTCAATGAAACAAATTACAAGGCGGTGAAAGAAAACCAAACATGACATGATTTTCAAAGACCCCTTGTGTGGATACCAGTTAGATGGATATAGAGTTCTCTTTAGGCTTGCATGTGTGTGCTCATACCCACAGGGAGCAAACGGTTATTTCAAATGCAGTGTAATTTGCTATTAGCCTATTACTTGTGCATAGGTTCAACAGTATGAAAAGTAATTGAATAGATGGATTAGTTAATAACTAAATAAAGAAGACAGGTGTTTGGTCATAGGCTTACAGTTGCTTTTAAGGTTGTCACAATAATTGTTTGGTCACGTTTGGTATTATGTCTGATTATTGTTTATTTGACCTGCAATATATGTGCAGCCGCCAAGGGCAAAACATTGTCATGATTGTGACAAATGCGTTCTTCAGTTTGATCATCACTGTGTTTGGCTTGGAACATGCGTAGGGCAAGGCAACCACTGTCGATTTTGGTGGGTATACTTTGTTGATAGTAGAGAAACAATATCATTGATCAATTATCTTTTGCTTATTCTTTTTTAAAGGGGTTCTTATGATAAGGTTTGAGGTTCTGTATCAGTAATATACTTATCTCATCTCATGTTTATTAGACCTTAGAGCTGATGAGTGATATTTTCTCCTCTGTTCATGGGTTTCTTTGTTTGTTTCTAAATCTCAGTTTGAATACCTTAGCTTATGGATAGAATAATGCATGAATTCTACCGCTGACAAACCTGACATGAAAAGCAAAATGATTCCATGATGTCTAAAGTGTATTCAATTTGAAAGTTGGTGTCACTCTCCTAACCTTTTCTATGCTTGCTGGTGAAAGTGGAGTTCCAATTTCTGTGACTACAATTGTCACATTTTGATTTTCCTCTTTCCTAATTTTGTTGAATTTTGCATTAGCCATTTAGTCCTTCATGCGCGTGTGCCTATGCAATCCTTTTTGTGGTCATAAAGTAGTACCATAAATTATTTTCTGGGTTTCATGGATGTAGTGGAATTGTTTACATACTAAAGGTGGAAACAAACCCAGTGTTTTTCTTTTTAGTAAATTATATCCCAAAGCTAGTTCACTTTTCATTTAGCAGTTTTTTAAAATCGTCGAGATATTTTTTTGTAGTCTACGTATTTGAGAGTTGTGTGATTTATTCCTTTACAGAAGAGGTTCTATATATTTTAATTTCTTTGTATGCAAGATTGGTATTATGATCTCTTATGAGATTACTAGTTATTGTCCGTGCTTGAAGACACTGTATACCATAAAAAATGTCAATTAGATTCAATGATATTCCCCTAAAATCCCACACTAATCTTTGGAATGAAATATCCAAGCCATTTGGTTGACATCAATTCTCCTTAAAAACCCAGATTCTTGCACCATTTAAGGAGATCAACCAAAATATTCCATCTAACTAGTAGCTTGCTCCCATCGCATCTTTGCTGCCAGAATTGTTTCAACATAGGTGAATGCTTTGAAATTTTCACTTCCTAAATGGAGACCCAGTTTCTAACGGAAACTATTGATGCAATCTTGGAAGATTGAGGAAATAAAATGCCTAGAGATTTGCTTCTCAAGACAGTCAAAATCCATTCCCCCCCAAAAAAATAAAATAAAATAAAATAAAACATATAGAAAACAAAAAACAATAGGGGTTGGGGGACACATTCATCCTACATACCCAAAAGTCCAAAATCAGCATGCATCAAAATGGTCCAAGACATATACACACAATCCGTCCGTGGTGGTGATGAACTGTATAGAACATCAATTGGCGCATGACCACTCGATTACATCAATAACCACTCAATTACATAAAGAGAGACAACATACATAACCACCATCTATCATAGTTCTAGCAAATTAAAAACTTCAAGCAAACACTTTCCAAAATAATTGTCCGTGTGCCTGCACGGAGTAACAAAAAAATCAATATATTGTGCCTTCGACAAATATAGACCGTGTACATTTTTTTTTAATTGCAACCTTTAAGTAATAAATAAAATTAAATAAATCTTGCTAATTTATAAAAGTCATGAATTCATCACCACTACCCCGTCAGTCAACCCAAAAACATATCATAAATCAACAAATTTTCAATCCACCACATATAACAACAAACAATGCTGATATAAGAACTTTGCATTCACCATCATGAGAGGTCTCGACTACACATGTAGAAGAATGAAAAGCAATAGTCAAAAACCAAAACAAAAATGGCTAATTCAATAGCACTCCTGACTGTTTTTGAGAGATAACAAAGCATGGAACACAATTGCGAACGATCATCTAACCCAAATAACATGGTAGCTTAAATTTAATCTTTAGCATTATCATCACCTAAGCAGTCCCTTAGCACAAAAGTGCCCAAAACACGAAAAACAACAAAACCTCTATATTAATTTGCCTAATATTTACAGTTATATGTGTACTCAACTGAACAAAGGACTTATCCCAATTGTTTCGGGGTCGGATACATGTATCCTGTTTTGCCATTGTGTACTATTAAGGGTTAGGTGATCATATAATTGTTTTCTATTCTACCAAACACATTAATGTTAGAAAATAATCACATCACTCTTTCTCATTGATACAACGATAGACCTTCTATAAATATGCAAAAACCACCCAAGTCCATTCTCAATTGATTTATCTCATATATGTGTACTTGTAATTTTTTTTGTTTTTGAATATTCTCATTCTCAACTTTATCCTTTTTAGTTCTGCCAAACCTCCATCTTATAAGATGAAATATTGTGATTAGATATTCTTCTTATGATTGGAATTATGTGTACCGAACCTATCATTCTCTATAGGGTGTCAAATTTAATGTCAGTTGGAAGCAGGTTTCTAATTGGTTACTTTGTGGGTATGCGTCTCTGTGCATGGGATAAAATATATTATATTTTCTAGATAAGATGGATCTGAATTGAGCCCTTATTATAAAAGTTGGAACTTCATGCTTTTTCTTTCCCTGATTTTATGCTGTCATCCTAGGAATAGTTCCAGGTGTACAAGAGTGGGGTGCTTACAAAAAATTGTCTGAGAGAGAACCATATATCTGAGTGTAATATCTCTTTGAACATTTGTAACTACATCAAAAGTATATTTTATTTTTTGTCCTTGTATCTATAGTGGATATATGCTTATAACTTGTCCCAAACGTGACAGATTCTACTTATCAGTCATAGAGATTTGTAATTTGACCCTATTGAAATATTCAACAGAGATGTACTATATCCACTGTTGTTTTCAGTTACTGTAGATAATTTGTATTGTATCACTTTTGTTTTGTATACCTTAAATGATTTCTTTCTAAGCATTTCCTTTGGGTTCATAAATTGATCCATCAGGTTGTACATTTGTGAGGAAACAGCATTGTGCCTATGGACTGGTATCTTGTACATTACATACCTCAAGTCTAATATACCAAAGTCTTGGTATGTATCTCTCTATGACCTTTTTACGATGTAAAGAAGTTTCAAAGAATTTTGGCTATAACATAATATAATACAATGTGATAGATAAATCTCTAGTGACCGTGGTTGCTGGTAGAAAGGTGTAACAGAGTTCATTGGTTCAAGAGTTGACGTTGTAGTTTTTTATGGTAATTCATATCGGATAGTTCCTGACCTTAAAAAAGAAAAGAAATGGAGGGAGGAAGAAGATAAAGAACAAATCATGGTCTTGTTATGACTCCTGTGCAACTTGCATCTTTTATTGAATGTGGAAACTGGACCTTGTGATTGGTTTTCCTTTCAGGTGGGTATACCTAATTATGATCATGCTGCTGGTCACTTTGTCAATTTCCCTAATCTTTCTGCTGCTGCTGCTACTTTTTCATAGGTAAGTTTTGTCGATTTTTTGGAGAACATAAAATCTTATTGTTCTTCATGCTAAGTTTTTATAGATCAAAAAATAACTATTTGTTTATCAATGGAATGTGTCAATATTTATTATGATTTATGAGGTTGGTGTTGACTCATGGCCTCTGAAAGGTCAGATGTCGTATGGAGTTTAAGGAAGTGATTTTTTTTTTTATTCTTTTAAATATTAAAAGAGTCACTTTAGAAACTTAATAATAAATGTGCATTTTATTTTTTTTCCTTCTCCGTTTTTGTGCACGTGCTGGGTGGGTGAAGGTTGGAGTTTTTGGTTTTTTTTTTTTTTGGGGGGGGGGGGGGGCGGGGAAACCAACTGTAAAGCAACAAAGGGAGCAATGATGCACATCAATACATGACGAGAAAGTAGGACGAAGGGAATTTGGGGGGGTCCCTAAGGATCACCAGCATACAGTTAGAACTACACTAGACTTAGCTGAGTAGTCTCTGCAGTTTTTGCCTTCATGCCATATGTGTATAACAGCTTCTCCATTCTGAACAGTGTACTGGATACTTCTGCTCATTTTAACTAGTTAAGGTGGGTTGACAATATTGGCCCTGTCAATCATTTAAAATTGGCCTGAGAGTCACTTTTCACTTCAGAAAGTCTTCTCCCAGGCCAGTTTAATCCCAATCCAGATACCCCAGAGGTGAGCCGTTGTCTTAGGCTCCTGCCTGATGTTATTAGTGAAACCCACAAACCAGCTGCCCTGATCGATTCTGATTAATCTTCCCTTAAGGTTCCCTCCACATTGGGTTTGACCCAGTTTGTAACGAGGCAGTCCCCATTTAGTAAAGCTCGTTGTTTTGGAGTGTCCTCATCTCCTACTTCATGTAACCCCACCCCCCGCGGCTCCAGGGGGTGGGGGGAGGCACAATTGAATTGAGTAGAAGTCGAATCCCAGACTGGACTAGCTAGAATTTTGGCTTCACCATTATGGTCCTGCTTATTGTAGCAGCCCCAATTGAATTTTATAGTCTCAATGAACAAGATTCTCCAGTCAAGTTCTCCCACCATGGAGGTACCTCCGCCCACTAGATGCCACTTTATCCACTTTTTTTTGTTAGTGCTCGAGTAAGAGTTGATTCCCCACGATGACCACGGATCGAGCAGCTAGCACTGTCCAATATTTGTCTTTTAAACTTCCAAACTCATTCCAGGTTTTGTGTCCAGAAGCAGTGCCATCATGTTTCACCTGAAGCTGATAGGCTGATTTTGTCCATTTTGAGTAGCCTTCCAAACCAACACATCTGCTATCTCCATTGTTGTCATGAATCAGAAGAGCGATTCTTATCAGCTGCTCCAGAACAACCTCCAGAAGCTTAGAATCGAGGCTTGTCCAAATTCATGAGCCATTATCTGACCAGTAACCCTGTGGAACTTTCAGCAAGCACCCCCTAGGAAAACCTTTCAGCAGTTGGTCACATAACAACACATTTTTCGAGAAATTGACCATTTCTCTGATGCCAGCCCTCTGTTTTGGACCCTCCTAGAACACCTCTTAGTCAAGAAGTTATTTGACCTTGGAATCGAAAATGGAATTTCCATTGGTTAGATATTTGCACTTCTAGTTGTGCCTTTAAGCAAGTTTTTTTCTTAAGTACTCTCCACTCTCCAGCCTGTGTTAGCTAGGTTAGCTTGATTAGCTTCTGCCATCTTCTTAAGCAAGCAAATCTTATCTCAAGCAACCCTGTGTACCTCCATGGCCTGCTCAGTTTTTCCTTTGATAATAGTTCATATTGTACCTGTCAGTTGTTCTTCACATCACATTGGGGAGGTTGGTCTTCTGCACAGGCTATGCAGGGGTTACAGAAGAAACAGACTCGAACATTTTAGTCCTATCCGTCATGGATAGGGTAGAGACATTCCATCCTGAGAGGCTTGTCTTGATTTTTTATATGCCTCTTTTGGCACCCTGGAAGAAAGTAGAAGCATGCCAAGGTATTTCCCATGTTAGCTATGGAGGCTTATGTTTCTGGCAGTATGCCTATTTCCTGGACATATGGGTGGTCACAAAAAAGTTCAGATTTTTTGTCTTTGGGTCTGCTGCTGTGCAAAGAGCTTTCCTCACAGCGCTCCTAGTTTCGGCCTGCTTCAAAGTCATTTGCAAAAACAGATGGGAGATGAGATACTAGGCCCTCCTTGAGCTGGTCTGAGAGGGCAAAAACATAGGTATTTAACTAAAAGTTAAATAAAAACTGAAGAAGTAGGTGCTTTGTTTGTCCCTTTTTTTATTGGGAGATTTCATGATGTTGAGTCAGATCCCTGTCCCATAACTGTATTTGAGCTTCTTAGCGGTACAACATTACAATATGCCGATAACAAAAACCAAAAGTGGTAATAACCCAGATTTCAGTTCATTGCTTAATATCGTGCGTGGTTAACTACATGCTCTTGCTTGTGAGTAAACAAGTCTGTTCTTGGTGTTATGTTGCAATTCAGTAGACTTGCTCTCTTTGTATCTTTTTATTCTTAAGTTCTTAAACAATGAGGTTTAGCTGGTGGTACAAAGAATTAAGGAAAACAAGTGAAACTTTCACAGGAAGTGAGATTCCTGTTCAGTGTACTGCTTGAAAGATTTCCACCTGTTTGTTAATCTGGAAGAATGGTGCAACTATCTTACTTTTTAGGCCAATTTGCGAACATTTCTCAAATGGCTCAGAATTTTGGTCTACTGATATTTCTAGATGTCAGATTGTGTGGTGTATTTATGAATCAACAAGTAGTCCGTTGTTTGCTTTGATGATGATTGCAAATGCCGTAATAATGTGTCCAAATAGTGTGATTGATTGACGAAAAATATGCAGTTCTGTATCATATGGCTGTTTTTGTTCTCATGGATTCAACTTAGTACTATAAATTGGATGCCACACGATTAGAATTTTTTTTTCAATGGAATGTTGGGACATGTGTAACATTAGTTTTCTTCATTTTCTTCTTTCTGGTAGCTATCTTATTATGACAAATCAAACAACTTATGAGCTTGTAAGACGACGGCGCATTGCATATCTAAGGTCAGTCAATTTTTTATGCTCCCAAATTTATTGCAGCTTTAATTTTTTGCATTACATTGACGAGGAACACAATTCACCTAAGTTAAAGCAGATGTTCTATGAAAATATGGCATCTTTTAGGAAGCAATGCAAGACTCTACTGTGCCCATCTATAGTGTTTGCTCCAAGATGATCTTAGCAGTATTAAGTCGGTGATCATTATGAATAATGTGGTTTCTCTAGCTATGCCAGTTGACACTTGACTTGTTGATCTGTAGGGGGATTCCTGAAAGAGTATATCCATTCAGTAAAGGTATATGCAGCAATTTGTACAAATTTTGTTGTGCTCCAAGCAGCATATACAGAATGGAACCTCTGCCAACAGCGCAGGAACTTGAAGAGAAGTCAAAACCCTATACTTGCTTGGATGTTTTGTCTTGTCGTTGTTGTTAATTATTTGGGCTTTGTATTTTTGTTTCACTGTATTCCATTGAATTTTACTGCAATCATTTTGTAGAAGCATTTCGATACATCCAATTGCTCACACAACTCAATTTGTTTTTCTTTCCAAACACCTGTTTATGCCTCATCAAGTTCTATTGAGATGTTATTGTGATCAGAACGATTTTGCCCATTTATGCATGAGGAATTTGTGCTTGCCTAGTGCCTGAAGTTTGGCCATCCTACTCAATGTTATCACAATAGGAAATTTACCCAGCAGCCAATGCCTTTAACTGTATGATGTTCTGAGGTTTGATTCTTGTTCTATACCTTGATGTCAGACAAAGGCATGACTTCTGTGGTTAGCTTCTTTCTGGGTCCGAAGCCTGTTGATTTTCAAGCTATGTTATACACAGCATGGCCTGTGACTTGAGTTTTAGGCTTAATAACAAACGAAGACAAACATTCAAGAGATGTTTCTTGTTCTAAACCTTGATGTCAGACAAAGGCATGACTTCTGTGGTTAGCTTCTTTCTGGGTCCGAAGCCTGTTGATTTTCAAGCTATGTTATACACAGCATGGCCTGTGACTTGAGTTTTAGGCTTAATAACAAACGAAGACAAACATTCCAGAGATGTTTCTTGTTCTATACCTTGATGTCAGACAAAGGCATGACTTCTGTGGTTAGCTTCTTTCTGGGTCCGAAGCCTGTTGATTTTCAAGCTATGTTATACACAGCATGGCCTGTGACTTGAGTTTTAGGCTTAATAACAAACGAAGACAAACATTCAAGAGATGTTTTTCCTGTCGGGTAAACTATTGTTGAAAAAAATTGGTATTGTACCATTTATTATATTTTTTGGGTGTTTATATCACTTTTTGGGTGGAATTTACCAATTTTTGGGTTCTCTTATTCCTTTGTTGGGTAAACTTCAACGACATTCTCTTCTTTTCTATCAGGCAGAAATGAATGTCGTATACGTGAAATGTTGTGCTAATCTTCTTCTGCAATCACCTGCATTTGTAGGAAATAACATGAAATAGAGAGCCAAAAGCCACTCCTAAAAATTGTTGATGAATAATAATAATAAAAAACCATAAAGAAGCTTTTGCATTCTGGATTAAGGAAACACGTTAGCCATGGTGTTTCGAATTCAACATAAGCATGACTTCCACAGCTGTATAATGTAAATGAGATTCAAACCAACAGCCAAGTGTTTGACCTATTCGGGTGCTCATAAATGTTCTCAGTTGTCCGTTTCTGAAAGTAACAAGTGAATAATTGTGAAAAACAGAGCGAGAAAAAAAGAACAAACATTAAATAGTAGGATTCCAAAATATACAAACATTACCATAGTAAGTAAAATGTCGACAAAATGTGCCCTGCAAACAACAGGGCAAAACAGGTACTGTTTGCCATACAATTTATTATGTTCTATACTATATAATACCATGAATGCCCCCTCCATAAAAGCCAACAAAATCCATGCAAAATATTTATTTAGGTTTGAGATTTTCGATACTTGAGAGCTTCAAAACGAGCAGCAAGTGCATCATAGTCTGGCAATTTGGGATGAACAGGTTGTGGTGCAGGTCGGTTGGGAGGTAAATTCATGCCATTTATAGGTTCTTCCATCTCAATTTCGTCATCACAATCTGATTCATCAAATTTGATATCTGAATGTGCTGAGGGAACATTGTAGCTGTGCCTCCTATAATTTTTTTTAGCATCTATTCTGGAAGGCTGGTGAGGTATTAAGTTGACACCACTTGTAGGTCCGTCCATCTCAATTTCTTCATCACAGTCTGCTTCATCAAACTGGATATCTGGACGTGCAGATGGAACATTGCAGCTGTGTCTCCTACAAATTTTTCGAGCATCCATATTGGTAGGCATTGTCTCATCACTGTTTGAAGAATGATCACATCCAAAACTCTGTCTCTTAATCCTCCTTGGGACCTTAGACTGATCGTCCAGAATCTGGTGGTTTTCTTGGAAGGTATATGGCATAAACTTGCTGGTAGAATTGCCACAACTGTTCTCAAATTCATAACTAGTCACACAATTACAAGTACCAGATGCTTGAGTGACCTGATAAGAGCCTTTACCCGCCAGATAGGCAGCAGCTTCGGCAGCAGCAATTGCTTTTTTTGCACACTCCGCAGCTGCTTCAGCAGCTGATGTTGTGTCTTCAAAATGCATGTTTTTTCTTTCTCCATCATTTGACAATCTGGAGAAAAAATATCGTGGAACAACACAAACAACTTCTTTGTTTCATCCATTGTGTTTACATATGAATATGAGGAAAATATTTTCATATGAAATGCTATCCAATTGGTGTAAGTTACCTGGTTTTTTGATTATTTGGCTCAACAGATTGCTTTGCTGTAGCCTTTACAGGCATGCTGCTGGCACTCACAAAAGTGCACGGTCCCTCCTGATCAGAGAACATAGATTAGTAGATGAGCGAATAATTAACTTAGAGAGAGAGAGAGAGAGAGAGAGAGAGAGAGAGAGAGAGAGACTCACTATAAGCTCTTCTGGAGGTGTGAGGAGCTCCATCTCAGATTCTGTTGTATCCCATTCAACCTGGTACTCCTTCGCTATTTCCTTCATGACTTTCAGTTTCACTTCACCAGCAGGGGTTCTAACAGAGAGCTTGTCAATGAGCTGTAACACAAAGCAAGCCCTTTATTTGACCCTTTTGATATGGTTGGAGTTTTGGTACAGAAATAATCTTTCATTGTTTCCGTTGTATGTAAATAAAGGCTGCAACACGTCCTCACAAAGAAGCTATTCGTGAGGAAAAAATATTTTGTGAATTGTGATAGTATCGATATACTTACTCTGATGAGAAGTTTATTTAGAGCTGTAAAGTATGAATACTTGATGTATTTTTTCATAGAAGCATGATTTCAATTATAAGACCACAATTACCATGCGATTTACCCCACAGTTGGGTCGTAGGTCAGTAGCTGCACATACAAAGTCTTCTCCATATTTCTTCTCGAAAACATCTCGAATAGACACTAGTTCTGGAATGTCTGAGCATCTAGGGGCTGCAAATATTAAACTGGATATCCCTTCTTTGAGATCTGCTGGGCAATTCCTGGAGCAGATGGACCATTCAAGTTTTATTAAGTGAGCCTAATAAGTACATAAACAAATATTCAAAACGTACTTTCACATCCAACACCTTTGCTTTGAAATTATTGAAAGTCTTGCTACAATCAGCTCACAGAAGAGCTCAATGAACTCATTTGCAGCCATAATATTTTGTTCTCTTATCACATGTTCAACCTACAAAGATCAGAAACACCATCAATAGACCACATCAAACCTAAGTATGATGAAGATCTTGTAAAGCTTACAATCTATAAAAAAACTAAAACCATATTGAAGTCATTCTTCCTATTAGTCAATATGTCCATATAACTTGCAATAGTACTGTCGAAGTAGGGCATCACGAGGCAAATCTCAAAACAAAGAAAAACAGCTTCTGGTACACAAACAGACATACGCTGGCATCCATACATTTGGATAAAGCAAGCAACATTCAAAACAAGTCATTTAGTCACCTCCCTTCTCATCCACCATTCCATGTGTCATAATGCATAATGCAAGAAGTAGATAAATGAATTTTTGCACTGTTGTATTGAGGTAAGAGGTGCAGGTTTGTGTCTTCATACAGTTACTTGGTGTAGGGTACATTGTAGAGAGTCTAACTCCTGTTGTGTAGTCTAAGACTAAACAACAGAAAGAACTAAAAAGAAAAGCAGCATACTTACTACAAACTTGCAAATATAAAAAACCCCTAGAAGAACACCAAAAAGCCAAAACAAAAACACACAACAAAAATTATGAAACATATATTTACATCCTTCCACCAACAATGTCTTCTAGTGATACATATATTAACATAACAAGTCTTAAGGTATGTTTTAACCTCCAAATGCATGACCTAATATAAGTAACATAGTTGTTCCTTCAAAACAAAGAAACAGCTGAATTCTTCAAAAGTGCCAACATTTTGCTGAGAACTCTGCATTTTGGTGGGTCGCACAGATGAAAGATGAGTAGATGACATTCAAAGATTGAAATATGTGTTTGCTGAGTGCTAAAACTAGAAGATATAAAATGTGGACTCTACTGTAGGGCTATGCATAGTAGACTACTTGCTTTGCACTTCACAATATCTACAGAATTCCCGTGGAACAATATTCATAAAATAAAACCCAAGTACTTCCACAAAAATTTCTTCACAAACCAAATTGAAAAGCTACCCGTTCATGGATCAGAACAAGTTTCTAAAAGTATGTTTTGATATGGTATCTCAAATATTTGAGAGGAAGAATAAGAGTAAAATATGAAAATACTTTACTTAAATGAGCGTATAGAGCATGACTGAAATGAATGACAAAGACGGACTTATATAATCGACTCCAAATGATTGGGACATAATAAGACTTGATTGGGTTTGGTTTAATAAGAGAAATTTGAAATTGAGCCAACATTGTCAGACCTTAGCTTTAATTTATGTTCTTACTTCTTAAGACAATATAAGTACAAAAATTTAATTTATGTTCTTACTTCTTAAGACAATATAAGTACAAAAATACGAAGAAGGTACTAGAGCAGGTTGGAAATTAGTAAGGTTTAAGAAAAGTGCTGAACTCATGTCCATTAATTGGTCCTTAGGAAGTTGAGTCCTTCAATGTCCTAAGAACAACCTTTATCAAATAACCTATTGGAAATTTGTAAGGTTTAAGGAAGTTCCAACATGTTGGATTTGTAAGCTTTAAGCAAATAACCTCTGTTGCTAGAACTACAGAAAGATGTAGTTGTGATGACCAAAATAATACAACACATAGGTTACCTACAGAAACTCAACAAAATGCCTTCCTTTAGTAATTTTGAATAGGTGTCTATAGAGGGCGTAATTTTGAATAGGTGTCTATATGGTTGTACACCCTTGATTACAAATTATTTATCAACAACCTCAAGACTAACAAGAAAGCTTATTCTCAACGTCACACAAAGCCCATTAGGGATGATTTTAAGAAAATCAACTGAATAAGTAAACTTCAAACCATTCATTTGGATGTTGGGCTATTGGAAGATGTCTATCCAAATTCTCTCGACATGTATAATGCAACTTTGTTTAGCTAAACTTCAAATTCCATTTAATTTCTTGAAATCTGGCGTAAAAAACCTAAAGTTGGGGATTTGAATAAATCACCAAGTCATTATTAGCAACTTAAATTGACACCCAATCCTAAAGCCGTAGCAGCATTAGGCCCAGCTATAACTATATCCATTTCCATATGTATTTACCCCATTGATCGTGTAAGTGACTACATTATAACAAGTGATTTCCTGCCAAAAAACATTATAACAAGAAATCACAGTGCCCAAAACAGGGTTTGTAATGTAGAAATTAAACATGAAATTAGATCAAGTACATCTATGCGGAAAATGAGGGATTTTGAGAAAGAAACAGACCCTAACTCGAGCAGTGGCATCCTGGCCAGACTCCAGAAGTAAAGCAATGTCGCGCCTCATCTGCCTCACCACCACCTGTCTCTTGTTCCGAAGCAGCTTTATCCTCGCCACAGCCATCTTCGCCATTGTCTTACTGTTTTTCAACACACGCATACAAATGGAAAGATTGTTAGGGTTCTGATTAGAACAGAGAGAGAGAGAGAGAGAGAGAGAGAGAGAGCGGCAAAAAGTGGGAAATTAAGAAGAAAAACGAACCATTTGGAAGAGTTGAAGCCTCTGCCCAGAACAGAGAGTCCGAACTTTATCGCCTTCTTGCAATGGCTTGTGGCCGCGCTTGCGACCGTCATGTCCGCACAGAGGAGAGAGGAGAGAGGAGAGAGAGAGGTGTCTGTCTCTATGTGTAGGGGGAGAGCTATTTAAGTATAACGGTCACCTGAGATGGGAAAAAAATATTTTTATGACGTGGCGATTTTTAATGGCCCCACCGAGGCAATTGGTCACCGACCTAATGTTTCATCTGCATAGTGAAACGATTCCTCCATTATGGTTTGAGGAAAAGGGCTAAAAGAGCCGTTACTTTGACTTTGACGCGTTTGGAAAGTGGGCTGATAATGGGGAAGCCCAGATGTTTTTGGGCTTGGAATAGGAAGGAGATGGAATATGGGCCTTTAGATTATCCGGTGAGATAGTTGGATTGGCCTGTTTTTTTTTACAGAAGCCGGTATAAATATTGAGAATTATTTGGGTAAAAGTGCATAAGCAAAAATATTTTGGGCAAAAGTCTGTTTTTCGTGCAAAAAGATTAGAAAGTCATTCAGATAAACAAACAAAAGTAAAAAGCCGTTTTTTGGAAACTAAATATCAAATACTGAAAAATATGAATGTTAAGTTCATGAAATGGTTGCAGTAAGCACAAAACTTCAAATCTGGACGACACACCACACATTCAGGATGCAATCTTTTATTTTTCTTATCTGTCTGAAATTCAAAAAATTCCACCTTTTAATTCATTCCTTTTTTCAAAACCTAACGGAGTGAGTGGATACTTGAAAATACAATATCGTATTTTTTTAGGGAAAACAAAAGGTCATTCGCCCACAATTTGGGGGTTTTCAGTCAATCGTCGCCGAAAACCTTGACCCATTTCCTTTACTCCAAAAAATTGAAGGCAAAATATGAAGACTCATCTTTAGTATATCCCTTTTTATATCTTTTTGGTGCATCTCTTTTGGTATGTTTATTTGTTGAAACTCTTTAGTATGTCTCTTTGATGTGTCTTTCTGGTGCAACTCTTTGGTATGTCTCTTTGGTGTGATTTGGTGGTTTAACTTTTTGGTGTAACCTTTCAGTAGAACTCTTTGGTGTATCTTTTTTGTGTATTTTTTTGGGAGTATCAATACAATGACGTTTAAGAATGCCAACTTCAGATCTAGAGAGAAAGAGAATGTGAGACCTGATCATGCATTGCATGCATATTAGTATAATTTTGTGGGTTAAATTATAATTATGTAAAATAATTAAAGGATTAATTAAATTAAATCTTTCATAGACATGATGCGAGGGAGCATATATTGGGTATGTGGACTCCATTAGTGATGTATTGGTGAGATCCATTCATAAAAATTTCATGTGTGAAAAACCTAGTGGGTTAATTTTGAAATTATTTAAAAACTTGAGAGGAGGTAAACGTAATTAACCCATTATACTGCTGTTGGCTAAAAAAATAGTGAGTATATCTAAGTGTGTCGTGTGTGTGTGTGTGTAAAGAAAAATATAATGGGGTGTATGTGTGTGTTTTTTATATAAAAAAAAAAGTGTGTATGTCTGGTTGTTTACTAAAGCCGAGAGTGAGGAGAGCAAGAGAGAAAAGGAAAAAAAATATATATATATATATATATATATGTGTGTGGGTCTATTTGAAATGTGAGCAAAGAATGTATGTGAGACTCAATTTAAGCATGCGTTTGTGATTAATTTTAGTATATATGTATTTGTATATGTGTGAACTGTTTTAACATGTTTTAAATTAGTGACTATTTTAATTTAATTCATAGACTATTTTGGTTAATTTTAATGGGATGTTTTAGTTTAATTTCAAAACATATTTTGTGAGTTTAAATTAAGTGTATTAAACATAAATTAGTGACTTGTTTTGTGTTAAATTAATGAGCTGTTTGATTTTAAGTTTAAAACATATTTCATTAAGAGTGTTAAACAAAATTTAGTGGTTGTTAAGAGTAGGTTTAAAATAGGTATACAATGGGTGTTAGAAAAATATTTGTTCCTCTCTCCCACTTTGGATCCAAGTCACAAACAATTTTTATAGGGGCATAATTCCATGCACATTAGGAAACCTTTAAGAAATCTATATCTATAGTACTAATAAAAGTATCTTAACATGAAAAACTTTTGATTTACTATTTTATTCTCATAAAGAATTAAAAATGTCACTCTATCCTTCCATACTTAATATCTAAATTACTATCATATCTTTATGCATTTAAATCTCCAAATTACATCTAAGATTACTTTTAATTATATATTTCCTATGTATAAATGTCAATTTTTATGAATTTTTTGATTAATTATATTACTCTTAAAAAATATATGAATAATTATAAGTTTTAACAAAATATTCAAAAAAATCTTCAAAAAATTGATCAATATACTATTACTCACTTTATATATATTTTTACATGATTTTTTAGTCGCAGTAAATTTTTCAGATTGTGTTAAGATTAATATCTAAATTACTTTCATATTTTTATGCATTTAAATCTCTAAATTTCATCAAAGATTACTTTTAATTATATATTTTCTATGTATAAATGTCAATTTTTATGAAATTTTTGATTGATTATATTACTCTTAAAAAATATGTGCATCATTATAAGTTTTAACAAAATATTCAAAAAATTCTTCAAAACTTTGATCAATATACTATTACTCACCTTAAATATATTTTTACATTATTTTTTAGTCGTGGTAAAATTTTCTGATTGTGTTAAGATTTTATGTGAAACTTGATTTTTTTTTTAAAAAAAAATTATAATATATATTATAGCATTGTATAGTAAATTTTATGACAATTGACCTAGATAATCCTAAATAAAATAAGGTTCTAATATGATTGGTACATTGATAATTATTTTTATTTTAATCAATGATTTATAAGTAGAATTTTAATCAAATTAATTTTCTAATTATCTATTCTCTATTTATAAATGTCAATTTTTATGAAACTTTTTGATTGATTAAATTACTCTTAAAAAATATATGCATTATTATAAGTTTTAACAAAGTATTCAAAAAAACCTTCAAAAATTTCATCAATATAATATTATTCATCTCATTTATAAAGATAATATTATGATATATTTTATTTTTCATCAAAATGTTTAACCATTTCATTTTTAAGATGAAAAATAATGTATATATAGTTTTACATGATTTTTTAGGCATAGTAAACATTTTAAACTGTGTTAGCATTTTATGTGAAAATTTGATTATAGGTTTTTGGTCCAATGATACTCCTTACCTTTTGAAGGTTTTACCTTCTTGAGATCAAGAATTCAAGCCCCCTCCCTCTCTTCCTCCCCGCCCCCCCCAAAAAAAAAGAATACAAAAATAATAAAACATGCAAAAAAAAAATGTTTTATAATATATATTATAGCCTTATATATTAAATTTTATCTCAATTGACCTAACTAATTATAAATATAGTAAGGTTCCAATACGATTGACATATTAATAACTATTTTTATTTTATTCAATGATTTATAAGTGGAATGTTAATCAAATTAATTTTAAAAAATTTAATTTTCAAACATCACTAAAAAATCACTTTCAATTATAAAATTATAGAAACAAAATAGAACTTTATTTATTATTATTTTTAAATTATTATTTTTTTTAAAGTTAGAACAACAAAACTTGAAAATATACAATCTTCAAAAATTCTATAGTGAAGTATAAGAAATGAAAAAATAAGTTTGGTAAATTTGAGATGATATTTAATTTAAATAAACATATACCAAAATATTTATTTATTAATTTTTTTAAAAAAATTAGTGCATTGCTAGTTAAGAAAAAAAAGAAAAAGGCATGATTTGGTTTAAAAATGTCAGGACTTTGATGGTGAACCTCCTTAGAGAGTTAGAGGTGTACAATTTCGCACGTAGCATTTGTCATCCTTTTATTTTTGTTGATTTTCGTCCCACATCGAATGCATTTAGGCGGTAGTAAAAGTACGCTACCTATAAATGCAGTGTCTTCCAAAGCGTCAATTTCAACTTGTTTTTGTCTTTTGAGTTCTTTGTTGTGCCTTTTCTCTTCAATCCTCTTTTAAGGTGTTTTTGTGTTTTGGGTAATTATATGTGTAGATGGAAAGGCTGTATATGTGTCATTGTAAAAGTGCAAGCTGTGTCCCATGTGTTGTCTAAGTTTCGGCTGTCTTTTTTAATTGACACTGTTGTCTTTCTTGTGCTGATGGACTGGGCTGACAATATAATATAAATTTGTAAATTAAAATTGAATTTTCTCGTAGAATTTGTTTCAAAAGGAGATTAACTCAGGTGGTAAATTTTCAAACATAATGAGAATCTTGAAATATTGGGTGCTAAATATACTCTTGACTGGTCATCAACCAACCAAAGTAGGGAACATCGCAGACCAGAACCTGAAACAAGTATATATATATTATAAAGAGCATCTTGTTGCCATGTCTTTAGGGCCACCATGTGATGGTATAACCAAGTCCCACCAATGTCTCACCAGGAAGGCAAGAGAGCATGAGCTAGACCAAAAAAAAAAAGAGCGAGGGAAACATGGGTATAGGGAGCATGGTCCAAGTTCACATTATTTAACATCCACTCGGAAGGCAATGTTGTTTTGATTGTAACATCGCAGAGCGGTATTGAGTGATAGCCACAAAATGCTACATAAAGGAATTAGTTACGAGTGATAACCACAAAATATTACATAAAAGAACAAGTTATGAAGAGAAATTCTAATTATATTATAGTGTCGCGGAACAGTATGAATTGACTTGATATTGATATCTTGGACAATAGGTCGACCGTAGAGATGTTTCAACTGAACCACATTAGACTTATGTATTATACGGAACGTGGAATAGTGTCCAATTGAAAAGTTTCTGAGTCACATTCTATTCAATCAGATCGTATGAATATCAGCTGATATCACTACAAGGAGGAGAGAATGCAATACAGGCATGTCTTCTGTTTCAGTACATGCCAGTAGTCCTTATCCTTACCAACTCCTTCATGGGAATGCAATGTGCATAAATCTATGCTGATTATAATAACTAATGCAACATTGTCTGTTCTAATTCGTGTTTTCCTTTTACTTTATTATTGGCTAATTAGATTGTGTTGAATAATCTTACGATTGGTGAATAAACAGCCACTGTCACTGCCTCCTCCAATCACCAATGATACCATTCTCTCCAACCACAAATTTGTCATATCTGTCAATAGTTTATGTCGGAAACTTCGACAAGGATGGCTGGCAGTGCATTTTTGTCTGGAGAGAGAGAGAGATAGAGAGAAAGAGGGTCAACATGTGACGAGGTAGCGAAACAATTGTTGCATAGCGAGGCAAGGAACATTTTGGAGACAAGTTTCTCTCTCTTGATATTGTACGGATCCCATTGGTAAACTATGGATCTAGCCTCTAGGGGAGGCCAATATAGAATTTGCTAAGTGATTCTTGTAATTCTTTCAAAAAAAAAAAAGTGATTCTTGTAATTATAGAGGATTTATATGTATAGGTGACATATGCTTGTCACAATACTTCCATTATATGAATCAGACCACTGTACCAATTTTGGTACCATAACAATAATAATTATGATTGATTTAAAAAGAAAATACATTTGGGTCTAAATATTAAAGAATCTAGTAATATAAGTGGTGCCTAAGGTGTTCCTTTCTGGGTATTACAAATGAGAATCTGCTATCATGGAAGAATGAACTTGAAATGACCATGAAATCCTGTACTCAGTATACATCATAAGTCGAAATCTAAGAACAATGAGTGTTACAGTGCCATGCCTATATGAGCACCACATGATGTGAAAATTTTGTTTCACTTGGATAACTTAAATTCTTAAATTTCGAATTGTAATTGTAACATTATTTTCATCAAAATATGTAACAATGTCACATGTTATCACCACGATAATCTATTTTTTAGCTACGAATCGGTTGTTCCAATGGTGATTTTCTTATAAAAAACTTGTTTATAGTTGAATAAAAAATAAATTTTTTTAATTAGATTCAAGTTTAAGATTTCGTTATTAAGTTCATAACAAATAATATAATGAAATACACATAAACAAAATATAATCTATAAATCTAAAATATAATCCAAACTAATATTCTAGAGTTTTTTCAAAGGCTGATTTGCACCACGATTGAACTAGTAGACCCATCCATTGATGAATATACCAAAAGAAGTAACTAATAAACCAAAGAAAGGAAAGAAGAAAGGGCTGGACCGGTTGGTGAAGAAAAGACAGATACCACCGGAAGTCTAGGGAGGAGAGTGCAACTCATGAAGAGGTCCAATTGCAGTAAATATTCACTATTCACTACAATTGTAATGCTGTATCCTTGTTGATACCTGGTATGATGAATCAATAACAAAACCTCTATGCTGCTTTACAAAGTATGTTTTGTTGTCCGCATACTTCCAAGTATTTGAGGGTCAATGTTCACTGTTTCCAATCAAACCCAGTAATTGAATGGCATCAATTATTAACTATAAAAACCACATATTCATTGTCGACAGTTTGTTTCCTGAGCAAAAATACGACAAAAGTATCAGATAAACCAAGGTTGAATAGCAACACCATCGCTTGTATTACATGTATACTCATAGTCTCATACAAAAATTTCAGAACATAGTTAATTAGGGTTTTAGATGAACAATGATTTGTCTTTATTGAGCAAGAATATTAAGAAGAGAAACTCTGCTTTGGATTAATCGCCTATACAGGCAATCCAGTCCAGCCTCAAAACCTTGAATATTATCATCAAGGGTTTGTAGCCTCCGTCGTACCATTTGTACATCAACCTTGGCCTCACTCCTGCAAATGTTCCCATGCAAATAGTGAAGAGCCAAATCAACAGTTTCCACCTCACTATTCATCTTCTGCAGGTTGGGTTCAGAATCTGATGACTTTATGTTCACCATCAGTTTTGAGATCAACGACCATCCTCTAAGCCTTGTCTTTGAAGTTGGCACAGACAAGAACATCAAGAGAGATCGAAAAACAGAAATGGTGATGGCAGATACTTCTCTCAGCATTTTCATCACCATTTTCAGAACTTGATCTTCATCTAAGAGAGATGATCCCACTTTGTTTTCTATTATCTTCAGTGCTCTAAGGCTCTCGGGAATGTCCCTCTTGATCACTTTCTTTCTGAAGGAAATGTACTTGCTTATATCACTTTCAATTCTTGATTCTCCACCTTTTCTGCGTAATGCTGATTGAAGATCTTGCACATGTTCCTTCATCATAGAAACTAAGTCTCGAACCGTGCCACACGAATCGAGCAGTCCGACTGACCCCTCAATTGCTTCTTCCAGGAGCATTCCCTGTTGATGTTGCAGAAGAGCTTGTTGAGTGAGTGGAGAGTGAATGAGTTCTTCAACACAATTGTACAACTCTGCTAGCCCTACTAGACCTGTTTGAATGGTCTCTGCAATTAAAGGAGCTCTTGCCAAAACTGATGTTTGCCAGGTTTTAAGCTTGTTTAGCTCAAGTTCAAGTTTTGTAGAAAGAGGGTGCAACCTGGAAGGCAAGCTAATGGACCTGACATGAAATTGCAGACCAAGAGATGGGGATGAGCCTGCCATTTTTGAATTTGGTTTGCTAAAGCTCAAAAGTTGCTGAATCGTTGAGTGAACTAATGATGATTATGATTGTGCTGTTTCAATCTATTTAACGAGGATAGGCTCTTCATGGGAAATCATTTAGCATGTGACGTCTATATGGGTCGCTCAAATACTTTGGTGATTTTTTTGCTGTTGTTTGGCCAACAACAGGCAATATCTAGTTTTATCTTTGATCTTGTGGCCATTAGACGTGCAACTTTTGGTGATCATTTCTTTATAGGAGTGATTGTCAGAACAAGAACACAAGCTACAGGCCTTTAACAGCTGTATGCTTCATTGCCTCCCCAATCATAAGGGATACTCTTCTCTCTATCAGTATTCAATGGTATCTTTCTTTGCATGCATGTCATCGTGAGGACTTGTTGAGTATTGTTAATGCGTGTGTGTGTGTGAGAGAGAGAGAGAGAGAGTCGACAAAGTAGAGACAAGTTTTATGTTTTAAAAATCAATGCTAGCTAGCTATAAGCATGGGAGTCTGTGGTGGTTGTGAGGAGCAAGAAGTAGAGGTGGAACAAGAATTGTTGCACTGCAAACAGAAAATGAGTAATATCTCCGATTTAAAAATTCGATTTAATTTGCTGAAATAAGTAATATTTCTTACTTAAAAATTCGACATAACTTATTGATCTAACGACATTTTATGTAATATGACCTTAACGGAAAAAATTTAACGGTTGGTATAGTTTTTATTATCAAATAAGTGGGTCTTAATTAATATTTAATGATAAAAATTATGTCACATTGATCACTTAAAATAAAAAAAACTTGGTAAAAAACTTGATAAAGATAAGATTACTAAAATAGCATTACTCATCGCAAATAATTTCATAACAAAAATGGATTGAGGTGGCAGAATAGGTGGTGTTTTGGGCAGACAAGGAAGCTGTTAGAATATGCCATATCTCTAGGAAGTTGATCCAACCATACATAAAATTATTGTAAACAATAGATTTGGCATGGAAGGTGGCGGCGACTTGTTGGTAGAAAGTGCTACACGAGCATTATAAAATGGATCGGTAAATTTCACGAGCATCCTCTCACATTTAGTTTTATTACATAGATATATGCTCACATTTCACAAATTGTACTGAGATTCTTTGACATTTAAACTCTTATTACCGGACCCCATAATTCTTACCGACGTTGGAGGACTAACGGTCAAAGTTGATATAATAAAAAAAAATAGAAATAATAATAAAGAGATAAATTTACTCTCACTTCACACTAATTTTTAAATTAAGTAATTTATAAATTACATATAATTTTTAATTAATTAGAATTACAAATCCTAATTTTGTGTTTAACTAATATTGTACCAATTAATTTCAAATAATCTCCAAATGTCTTTACATTAAATGATTAATTATTTAATTTTAGTTACAATTTTAATTTAAATTAATTATAAAGTGAATTTATAACAAACTTTGATCAAAATTGGTCAAAATCTCCAAACGCCTTCTTTCGGCTACCTCTTTCCTCACCATAGCACTGCCACCATCGCATCGTCATCACCTCCTGAACAACGCCAGCCATCACGTTGCCATCACCTATACAACAACGTTCACCACCGGTAGCTCACCTCCACAACAACACAAGCCCACTCAAGTCCCACTCCGATAGCTCCTTTTTACTCCACACCACTGCCACCACTATACTTGCATCATCTCCATAACAACCCAGCATCTCCACAACAAGTCCACCACCACCACCCACAAAATCATATGAATCCCCTTCCTTCCCCTACTCCGAACCTTTCTCCACAACATCGCCATCACTATACCATCATCATCTTTATCATCACCACTACCACCACCACAACAACAATGGTCTTTGATGATGTATGAAATCGAAGCGTAAAAAGAGGATGCTTAAACTAAAGAGCTCAAGACATGTGAATAGTAGTGTGCAAATGATTTAACAAATATGAAATAAATCTGATGACTGTGTTTGATGGCTCTATGATATTATAGTAATTGTAAAACATGGGCAGGATCTGAGTAAAGAAAAGAATATATAGACTATAGTGGTTCACTAGTTGAAGAGCTTGACTAATCCACTCTAATAGAGTCTCTTACTCTTTGTAGGAACTCTATATAACTTGAGGAAGAAGATAGGGACACTTTTGTCCAATTCGTTGGGTTTTTTCAGATGCCTTAACATGGTGAAGGCCCTTGTATTTATATTCACAAGTGGGGTGGTCTCTGTGTCATCATCACATGGTCTCCCAAGTTTGGCTGTTAGAGGCTACATTTCTTAAGTATAACGTGGTATTCTAGAACATGTTGAGATGGCCTCATGATTCATATTTGTGCTTAGACGCGTTATGATCTTCCATGTCTCTAGAAGAGTTTGTTGTGAGATCGTACTATTTTAGAATAACCTCCTATTGTGGTCTCCTCGTCATGCAGCGTAGATGACTTGTGTACCTTCTTGGTTGATCTGGGTTCCATTAACTCAATTAGGATGTTTGCATGTGACCTTGGCTTTCTTTTTGAGGATGGATGCTTGGACACAAGGTTGGGGAATATACCTCATCGGTAATCTCTTTCATGGCCCATTGTCTAGGTCCCATTTTATTTACTTATGATGCCATTTTTGGGTATCATCAGTCACCACCACCATCGACAAGCCCAACCACTTTTTCACCACCAATAAGTCATAAATCTACTTCATCTAATAACTTTATAGTCCCCCTGATTGTGGGATTCAAGGATGGCATTTTAGAGAGAGGAACACAGAGGGAGTGCTGGCAAGATCAACGGTAATGGTCAAAGAGGAAACTGAAGAATGGGGTCGGGCTGATTAGGTATGTTTGATGAAATGTATGTGTGTGTGAGAGAAAGAGGGAAAAAGAGAAGGAGAGAGAGATGGGAGAGAATACTAGGGTTTGGGGACAGTGGGGTGGGAGGGGAGATTCAAATAAGGAAATGGTGGAAAAATAGGCGGGTTAGAAAATGGGTCATAGGCTACGGGTCAAGACATTGTTATATTGTTGGGTTAGAAAATAGGTATGAATAAATGGAGGGTAAAATATTATCTTTATCTAAATCATTAACATCATCAAATGTTTGTGGTCTTAGTGTGATTATTAAAATGTGAGAGAATGTACGTATAATAAAATCAAATGTCAACGGCGTGTACATGAAATTTACCCCCAAAATGGACTGAGTACATTTTCAGGGAGTCCAACACCCCAACGGCCCACAGGTTGGCTGAAAATCCAGACAGCCTGCCGAGTTGTGGTTGGTATAATAAACGCAAAAGTCTGACTTGTAGGGCTGTGGTTTTTGCCCGGATCAAAGCCCATGCACTGCCCCATTGGCTCAAAAATTTTCAAAATTGTCATTGGATTTGACCATAGGATTACAATTATCAGTTAAAAACATTATATAATTGATCATGACTTTTGTTTTGTAACTTAGACACTAAAAATATTATAAGTTGAGTACGTGTACGTCAAAGAAGCAAAACAGTTTGCCTGCCCGTATCAACAACAAGAGTTAGCTAGGGGTCTGTTCTAATACCCAAACGACTTTTTTCAATCGTTCTATTCCAACATACGTGAAATGAAACTGGAATTTAAATTCACAGAATGAAGTTTAGCAATTGATGCAGATCGGAGAGTAACATACGTTGGAATTTTTTCTATATTGGACTGTCATTAATTGATAGTTAATTTTAATTTGTGAAAAATGGGCTGAATTTATGGTCTAATGAGATAAGTCCAATATTATTAAGTGATCTATTTTGATGGACTTATGTACATCTTTTAATTGATGTAGTTGAGGCGGTTAAGTGTAAACTTTAATCTAATTGTGGCCCGTAATGGGAGAGCCCATTAGATTTTATTATAAATAGCAGACTAGATCCCCTCTCCACTTCATAACCCTAATTTGACTTGTTCCATTGAGAGTCGTCTATTGCTATGAAAAAGGAGAGGAATATCTTGCCCTTCCAAAAAAAAAATTCAGAGATCGAGTATCATGACTCATACAGATATGTTCTAAATCTTGAATTTAGAATTTAAATATTTTAATTTAGGTGTTATAAATTTTATAAACGAATCGTTAAAATTTCTTACATATGATATCAAAGCCTATTGTATATAAATTTAGAACCCAATTTATGTTATTATTATTATTTTTATTTGTATAATTTGGGATCTTAAAATATTTTTTGTGACGGGCGGCGTCGAATTCTCATCGCCGTGGTTATTTTGTGTCATTCTCGTTATCTGAGATCTGGATTGGATAGACTGCGTACTATTACGTTACTTGAATGGCTGGTGTTTGTTTTGATTCTATGAGATGGTTTCCAGACTTCAAGTACCCTTAGCTTGTTTGGGTGGAGAACTTCAAGTTGTCTTTTCTATTCAAAGTTACAACACTTTTCAATAACAAAAAAAAAAAAAAAAGGGTGAAACCATCATATGGATGGCGGCCAGCACATCACAAGAAAAAAAAAAAATTTACTGATATGTTGATGTACGTCAAATATCCTGTTTGGAATTTATGTCAAAATTTTTTATTGATTATGTTATATTCGTCCAACCTATTAAATTTATTTTTAATTTTTTATAGGTCTTGTTAACAAATAGATATATGTTTTTATCAATACAAATTATTTTATCAGGTTAATGTAGCATCGATTGAATTGCTATAATTTGTAGAGGGTGTTTGCACAATTCTAATTTTAGTCCCTAATGATTTATACGATAAATTTTTTGTTATGATTTACATATTATTTATTAATGTTGGTAGATTTGAATTTAAATTACTTAATTTTAAAAGTAAAATAGAATTAAGACCTGAATGAAATGAATAATGATGAATGATTTAGAAATATACATATTGTTTAGTACCTCATATTTATTGATCACATGATATTTAATTATGGACAATTTATTATAATATTTCGATTTGGGAAATTTTATAAGTGAAAATGGATGGTTGCTACCAAAG